TACCGCGCCCCCACCCCCCCTCGGCCCCGCGCCCCTGCGCCCCTGGCTGGTCCGGGGTCGTCTTGGATCCACCCAAGTCACTCCGGATTGTGCACTTGTTGTAGGTGCACGGAGCGCGCGGGGTCCTTTGGGGACCGTGGGGTCCCCTCTGAAATGCCCCCCACTCCCAACGTAGCCCCAGAGTCATGATTCAGCATCTTTGGGGTGAATAGGTGGAGAGGGAATGGGGAACAGGGCAGATTTCGGAGGGTGGAGGGCTGCCTCAGATTTAGAGAGAGCCGGCACCGTGGAAGAGAGAAGCGCCTTAGCCTGCATCCCCAGCTCGACTCCAGCCCTTAGCGCCGCAGCTCAGCTTAGAAGCTTGTTGCAACGCGCAGGACCAACGGACTCCGTGAAATCATGTCGGCTCTGTGCTGTCGATGGTTGAAGTCTTTTTCCAAGGGCGTAAGGGCCCCGGGGACGGGTCCCAGCAGGCGTGGGGCTCTGATGGCCTAGCGGGGGAAACTGGCCACTGGCTTTTGACTTCATTCTTCCAACTAGAAGTACCGCATTTTAAGCAGGGGTAGAAAAGGACACATTTGGCCATAACGAGAATACATGTTTATCCATCTGGAAAAGTTGGACGAGCTTTCAACTGAAAGGTAACCGTAGCTGCCGAGCAACTTGATCAGTACTTTCAAGTTTCTAAATGTTTTGCTCTGTGTGTGTGCTTTGCTGTGTGTGTTAGTACTAGGGCTTGGACTCAGGGCATTATGCTCTACTTCTGGCTCTTTGCTAGTTTATTGGAGATCGTAGTCTGGTGGATTTTCCTGCTGGCTTTTAAACGGGATCCTCAGTTCTCAGCTTCCCAAATAGCTAGTACTTAGGAACTGAGATCCAGTCTATGGCTCAAATGTTTCTTAAGGTCTCTTTAGATGGCATATATACCAGTGTACCATATTTCTTTCTGTATGATAAGAGTCTTTCTCTGAAACCCAGGCCAGCCTTGAACTTGAAATTCCCTTGCCTTAGCCTCTTACTGCTGGAACTGCAGGTCTACACCACAATTCCTGTGATTTTCATTTATTACAGGAGACTTGCTGATTAATTTGAAGCTGTGGGAGAGCACAGTTTGAGGTATGCTGGACTGAGGACAGCCGTGGACCCTGCCTTGGTCCCTGGTCTGAGCACTTTACATTAAAAAAAAAAATCAGAGTTAAATGTCTGTGAATACTTGCTGGAGGATGGGAAGAATTTCAGGTGTTCACTCCAGAAAATGTTGCAAACTTTCTGATGGAGATGCATGAGTAGAGGCCGGAGGCATGGAGAAGGGAAGAAGGGAAAGGGCTAGGCCATTAGTAAAGTAGGGGTAGATGAGGACAGGGAATGAAGAAAATTTGTGGTGATCATTGATTATAAGAGGCTCTTGCTGTCTGTGGTGCAGATACCTTGCTCATATTATCTTACTTGGAATGAAGAGATGTACTTTTTTCTGTGTGTGTGTGTGTGTGTGCCAGTATGTGCCAGGTCTGGGGCACCGCCCTTTAGTCTTTTTGCTCAAAGTTGGCACTCTGTCACTTCTACTTCCAGCTTTTTGCTGGTTATTTGGAAATAAGAGACTCAAAGACTTTCCTTCCCCTGGCCTTCAGATCTCAGTTCCTAAGTACTTAAGGTTACGGGCATAGCCACTAGCACCCAGCTGAGAGAGATTATTTTTGGAAAATTTAATTGCAAATCTAGAAAGCAACATAGTACTAGATAGAAATGGGTAGGAAAGAGAATTAAGTTTCTCTTCATAAAGAACATTAGCTAGGACTGGGAAGGTGACTCAGTGGTAGAGCGCTTGCCTTGCATGCATGAGGCGCCCTGGGTTTGATTCCTCAGCATCACATAAGCAGAAAAAGCCAGAAGTGGTGCTGTGGCTCAAGTGGTAGAACGTTAGCTTTGAGCTGAAGAGCTGAGGGACAGCGCTCAGGCCCAGAGTTCAGGCACAACCAAAAAAACAAAAACAAAAACAAGACCCAACAAAAAAATTAGCTAGGCTATCTTTATGCATAGGTGTTGATTTAAATAAGTTAAGTAGTTTCTCTGCATTGTCACCTGAGTTGAAACCATACCTAGTACAGTAGCATAAAGCTGGAGTACACCCATGCCCCATATAGCTCTTGAGGAATGTGGATGGCAGATCAGACAATCATGTTTATTAATTGATCAGGATGAACTAATGGCAGAGATGCTTTACTCTAGAATATGTTTATAAGATTTTAGTTTTAGGTGGTTGACAGAAACGTGCTGACCATTTGAAACTATCTTAAATTATGTTTGAGCAAAATCTTTGAGACTTAAAAACTTTTTTTTTCTTTGACAGTCCTGGGGCTTGAATTCAGGGCCTGAGTACTGTCCCTGAGCTTCTTTTGCTCATAGCACTCTACCATTTGAGCCACAGCGCCACTTCCAGCTTTTACTATTTATGTAGTACTGAGGAATCAAACCTGGAGCTTCATGCGTGCTAGGCAAGCACTCTACCACTAAGCCACATTCTCAGCTTGTTAAAACTCATTTTTAAAAACCCTTTTATTTTTGAAATAGCTAAGTATATGTTCCTCTAGGTCATATTTTAGAAATCTCATTTATCCCATGCTCTTTGTGTCCCATTGGTAACATCTTGTACAGAAAAATATCCCAGCTGGAAACTGATGCTGATAGAATCTCCAGCTTTTATTTAGATTTTGTTTCTTTTTTTGTTAGATTTTTAGTTTGTTTTGGTAAGTGTATGTATGGTTCTGTGTGTACATTACTGAGACCTCCACTTTAGTGGAGATCTGTAGAACAGTTTCATCATGAGGATAGTTCCTGCTCTCAGCAGCAGTGAACACCTAAGCTGTAACAACCACCTAATCTATAAAACCCCCCTCTTACCCACAACTACCACCATTTCTCCAGCTCTATAATTTTGCCATTAGTATAGAATTATATAATTTTGCCTCTATCATGCAAATGGAATCATGTGACATTCAATTTAGTGAGATTGGCCTTTTATTTTTCCATTGAGAATCTTTGGATCTTTATTCAGTTTGTTGCATGTATGAATAATTTGTTCCTTTTCACTGCCCAGTAGTATGTCATTGTAACCAATCATCTATTGAGGACATCTGGGTTGTTTTCACTTTAGAGCTATTACAAATAACAGTGATAAAATATTCATTTATAGGTTTTGTACAAACAAATGTTTATTTTTCTAGGGGAAATTCCCAAGTACAATGGTTAGATCTATTGTGGTTACATGTTTAATTCTTTATGAAACTGTGTGACTGTTTTCCATACATTACTGCCAGCATTGTATGAGTGAGTCAGTTTTTCCCTTCCTAGACAGCCTTCAATATTTTTTTTCTTTTTAATTTTTTACATCGTTCTGTTATTCTGACAGGTGATAGTGATACTTCACTACAGGTAGTTTTTATTTCCTCAGTGGCTGGTGATGTCAAACACCTTTTCTTTTATATATGTGTGTGTGTGTGTGTGTGTGTGTTTTATTGTAAAGATATGTACAGAGGGGTTACATGAGCAAGGTAATGAGTCCATTTCCTGTTGAGTATTGTTACTTCTTTGTTTTTCTTTTCAACACAGTGTCTTGTACATCTCATTGTTACAATGGGTCATCCTGTATCCTTATTTCAGCATTTGGTTATTTACATTCCCCTCCCCAAATTAGAAAAATTCAAATACCTTTTCTTATGTTTATTTGTCCTCTTTAATCTTGGAAAGTGTGCCTTTGTGGTTTTTGTCCATTTTCTTTGTGTGTGTGTGTTGGCGGTGTGGCTTAAACTCAGGGCTTCACATTACTTGGCTTTTTCACTCAGGGCTGCCACTCTACCACCTGAGCCACAGCTCCACTTCTGGCTTTTTGCTGGCTAATTGGAGACAGGAGACTCATGGGCTGTCTGGCTTTGGCCCTCATGAATCCACACGCGAGCCACTGGCACTGATTCCGGTGCATCTCTACTGCAGATAAGTCTCATTTTGCTTCTTCATGAGATCATGGCCAAGGGCAGGCAGGAATATTTCTAGACCCTGTTAGAGCAGAACCAAGACACATCTCTTGAAAAAAGGCCTTGATTGATTGGAAATGTACACAGCTTGTTAATTTTCTCTTTCCCCCTTTTCCTCTTGGTGAGTGAGGGCAGGTGTGACTCAACAAGAACGAGTGTTAAAGCTGGAAAACTAAGATAGGTTAAAAGACCACATAATGTGGTTCTCCTTCCATGTGTGGGCCTGAGATGATAATTTGCTATAAAGTTGGTAGGTTTTCTTTTTCTCTTCTCTCTTTTTTTTTTTTTTAACTGGTGCTGATGTTTGAGTTTGAAGTCAGTGGTCCTTACATTCTCACTTGGCTTTTGCACTCAACACTTGTGCTCTACCACCTGAGCCATAACTCCACTTCTGGCTTTTTTTTCTGGTTAGTTGGAGATAAGAGTCTCACAAACCTTCCTTTCTGGCTTTGTTCCTCAGTCCTCCTGTTTCAGCCTTCTGGGTAGCTAGAATTACAGGCATGAACACCAGCATCTGGCTGCTATAAAGTTTTATTGATTGCTGCTGCTGCTGCTGCTGCTGCTGCTCCTCCTCCTCCTCCTCCTCCTCCCTCCTCTTCCTTCTCCTCCTCCCTCCTCTTCCTTCTCCTCTTCCCTCCTCCTCTTTGTCCCTCCTCCTCCTCCTCCTTCTTCTTCCTCTTCCTCGTCTTCTTCTCCCTTCTCCCTTCTCTCTTCTTTCTTCTCTCTTCTTTTTTGGTCCTAGTCCTAGGGCTTGAGCTCAGGGCCTGGGCACTGTCCCTGAAATTCTTTTTCTCAAGGCTAGCACTCTACCACTTGAGCCACAGAACCACTTCTGACTTTTTGAGTAGTTTATTGGAGATAAGAGTCCCATGGACTTTCTTGCCTGGGCTGACTTTGAACTGCTGTCTTTAGAGCTCAGCCTCCTGAGTAGCTAGGATTGCAGGAGTAAGCCACCATCATCCCGATTATTGATTGCTTGAGTTGCTGCTACAAATCCTTAGAGTGGAGTGGGTGGTTTAAAATGTCAGAGCCAAAAAGTAGAATATCTTAACATATGCAGCTGTTAAGTTTTGTGTGTGTGTGTGTGTGTTTATAGAGGTGATGTACAGAGTGTGTGTGTGTATGTGTGTGTGTTTCTGTAATAGTTGTGTCTTGCACTAACCAACCAAAAAGTAAGCATGAGCCTCCATACTCTAAACCTGAAAGAAATGATGAAATGGGCTTTTTGACTGTACTACTATGAGATTTCATTTTGAGGTAGTCTTGTTCCTTTTTTATTTTATTTTATTTTTTGCTGGTCGTGGGGCCTGAACTCTGGGCCTGGGCGCTGTCCCTCAGCTCTTCAGCTCAAGGCTAGCACTCTACCACTTGAGCCACAGCACCACTTCCTGCTTTTTCTGCTTATGTGGTGCTGAGGAATTGAACCCAGGGCCGCATGCATGTAAGGCAAGCACTCTACCACTGAGCCACCTTCCCAGCCCCAGGCTTGTTCCTCTTTGGGTAATAAGTTTGTTTTCTGTCGATCCTAAAAGGCAAGTGAAATTGGGCTAGGATGTTTAACTAAGTTTTCTAGGATGTTCAGTGATGGAATGGACCATGAAAAAAATTGGACT